ACAATCCATCAATCACAGACACCTGGCTCTGAGTGCGAAAAGAATATTCAGCCTTGGAATCTCCTTAGGTTAGGCATGCTGTGCCCTTGGGTACTCAAATAACATGCTGACACATGTCACCGGCTTTGCTGCACATACCATCTCACAGACTATGGTGACACACGCTTGTGCCACAAGGATGTTTGTTGCTTGCTCTGTGCTAGAGAATGAAGCTCGTGCCTTACAAATGCACCGGTGGGCTCAGATTGCAGCAGCTGGGTTGCTCAGCAGAAAGGGGCTTCAAGGTATGTGCTTTCTTCCCTGGAAGGATCCTTTCTGAGGTTACTTTCTAACTCTCAGGCAGGTGGTCCCAGCTGTCCCAAATCTGTCCCTTTTCTTATGCTGCCCCTCAGGGCTGTTACATTGACCACAGGCAAGAGAACAAGCTGGTAGAAACTACTGCCTAATGCAGCTAAATGACTCTTAATTTCAGCACAACCACTCTGGAGTCCAGAGTTTCTGCACTTCCCTTGTCAACAGGAATGAACCAAGGAACAGGAATGGCACAGTCCTGTGCAGTGGGAACAGACTGCTCTCTTTACACTTGCAGCCACTCAGGTGCTGTGGATGTGGCTGATCTCATAGGATGCTAATGAGTAGGTACGTAGCCAGACAGTCAGCACAGCTGTCTTACATTATAATCGTCTCCCTGGTGAAGACTTCCCCTGTGTAAATGGCAACTGGAGAGAAGCTTGAGGCTTGGGACTATCCTACATTAAGAAAATGTTTCTTTAAGTAGAATTCCAGGAGTGTTTGGAGGGATGGAGGCCAGGTAGCAGGGGTAAATGAGACTAGGGGTGCTCAGACTGTGCATCCTGTCTCCTCAATTGCGTTACGCTTTCTGCCTTTTGGTAGTCCTGTAACCCCAAAATATGCATTGATTCTTTCTGCTCTGCCCACACTGTCTTGGGCAAACACTAGAAGGGGGAGCCAATGACATACCTGCATTTTACCAGGCTGTTGGTCTTTCTTCTTCTCACCAGTAACTGCAATTGTTGCAAAGTACTGGATGACACGCTTTGTGTTCACAGTCTTCCCTGCACCAGATTCTCCACTGTTGAAATGAAAATATTGTTACAGGAAACAGGAAACATTTTAATGTCTCTGTCAGCTTTGTCACACATACCAACATATACTCACGTGATAAGGATTGACTGATTGTTACGATCTGAAAATGAAGTCGGAGAAAGAGCTGTTCAAATGAGATGTGGAGGCCTTCTGTTCCTCAAACATAACTAAATTACTTCAAGGGAAAGAACTGTATCTCAACTGTATTTATCACTTTATAACCAGATGTGGTAAATTCTGTATTAGTCTGTGTGTGGATTTTTTTTTCTGTGCACAGAGGGATGGAGCAGCCCAAAATCTAGCTCCAAGCAGTGGTTCCTTATAAGGCTTCCTACTTAATATTTGTTTTCTTTTATGTATGGACCTTGGCTTAAATATTCTTTAATTGGAATCAGATTTTCTGCTGAGTTCCTTCTTTATTGTTTCTTTAAATTCCTTACTAGTAGAGTGGGCACAAAGCCATATAGGTAGCTACTGCCTTTATCTGACAGAACAGAGGTCACTAATATGCCACAGGCAATCTAATCTTGAGTTGTGCCAGAGGACTATGGGAGCTGTTGCCATCAGGCACTGAGTAGAACAGCACCTAGGATGTCTGAACTGTCAAGTGTTCCTTGACCAAGCAGCCAGTCCTGGATATATCAGGGTTTCCCATTCTTGCCAAATGACTCACCAGTCAGCATGAACTGATAGGCGTTGTCAGAGATGGAGAAGATGTGTGGAGGGGCCTCCTGGCGCTTCTTGCCTCGGTAGCCAGCCACCACCTCTGGGTTGTACACCGGCAGGCACTTGTAAGGGGTGAGAGCGGCGCAGAATAGACCCGAGTAGGTCTGCAGGGAAGGGAGACAGCACGTTGGCTTCCGCTCAGCCTGGCAGAGCAGTTCCTGCTAGCTGCCCAAAGGAAGGCTGCTGCTGGTACTTACGTAGATCATCCAGGCTGCGTAACGCTCTTTGAGGTTGTACAGCACAGCGGGTTCATGGAGGTGGGTCATCATGGCCATGTCTTCAATTTTATCAAATTTGGGAGGGTTCATGGGAAAGACTTCATCATCCTTTACGGTCACAGTCTGACAAAACCGGAAGGGAACAACAGGAGAAGGAATGTAAGCCAGGGAACTGCCTGAACTGATTGATCACGTGTGAGTAACAGTTGGTATCACTTACTGTATCATCATATGTTTTAACAGTGACTTTGCCACCTTCTCTACTCTGTATGGTACCTTTCACATACATTTGCTTTTCATCCACTACAAAACAGGCTGCCTTAGCATCAAATGGGCGATTCTGGGCTTCAATTCTCTCCTTCTCGGGCTTCCGTAAATAGGGAGCAGCTTCTCCAAAGATTGCCATCTCTGCATCTGAACTCATGGCTGGAGTTGCTCTGGAGGAATTCAGAAAACTTTTAGAGACCCTGCATTTGTAATTTATATTTATCCAGAAAGTGGTCATACTCAATGACTAAAAGGAAGAAGAGGACTAATCGACTTCAGGCACTTAACTTCTGCCTCAATTTTAAGTATCCACTGAAGAAGTCCTAATAAAGTTCCTTTTGTTGACAGAGGTGTACTGTCCTTGAGGACATCCCCCTTAAATTGGGTGCCTGTGTACCCAAGTGAGGGCAGAGAGAATATCAAGGTAGAAGTCTTCAAAAGCCTTTCCTGCTGTATCTTCACCTGCTATTCACACAGAAGCACAGCCACATACTTCTCAAAGCCACATACATATTAGCTGCTTAGATGTATTGTTTCATTAGACATCTAGAAATTTAGACACAAGTCAGATCCGTAAGTTAAGCAGATTGGCCGTCACACATAATTTGCAAGTGGAGGTATTCCTTGCACCCTTCTGCTTTTTCTGTTTTAATACCATGCAGGGAAAGTTCAACTATTTTCTGTCTGTACCAAGCACTGGAACAAATTGTGAGGGTCAATCATCACCTATCTAAAGCTAAACCTGTTTACTGTATGAACCAAATATAAAACATCGTTTCACATCTGTGGCAAGATTAGCTAATAAAAGAATATAATGTATATAGAAGGTAATAATTAATAGCATAACGTTATCTAGGTAAATCAGTACTTGGTATAATATTTCAAAGAATTTACATTACAAAGTACCTTTTAGCTTTAGCATATTATATAGCGTAATATTCGTTATGCATCATTAAAAGACAATTAGTGTGTACCAGTATGTACCAGATATTTGGTTAGGGATTTGTCTAGTAGGAGTATTTCAGAAAACAGCTTTATGCTGGTTTACTTTACGTTTCTAGCAATATCTAGTAAAAATTCTTCAACACAAATAGATGCTATTGGTTGCTACAGTCAGAAGCACTGGTGTGGATAATTCAAGAGCATCTGGAAATAACACGGGCAGAAATAACATAGGCAGGAACTAGCATAAACAGAATGTTCTTCCCCAGGCAAGCTAATATACAGGCTAGCGAAAAAAAAAAAATAAAATTCTTAACTCCTGCTACTCCCTGGGCTGTCTGATGCACTGTGGTACTAAAAAAGATAGAGGGACAGGACTGAACAACTCAGATGTCTCCTTCCAAGGCATCACACTGAAATAATCAACATGAAGTGGTTTTATGTGCAAGAAAATGGTGAAAGGAGTCTGAAGGCATTTGTAATGCAACTTTTGGACACATTGCTCTCCCAGCAAAACCTATCTTGCAGGACTTTGGGGGACTGCCTTTCTCAAGAGCCTTTAATACCCAGGAATTTCAAAGCACAGAATCCAGAACCTTTAACTTTGAAAGCACATAGGTACATAGAGCCCAGCATTTTTGCCTATATGATCCTGCCTCTGAGTGGCTCAAGGGAAGCAACATGAAAGAAAGAGGGAAATTATTTCACAGTGTCCATGGAAAGGTTAAGCAGAGCATTAGAAAATGCCAAGAGGTTATTGGAAAATTTCTTGAGATGCATGGTCTGTTAAACTACTGAATGTCTTTGATAGGAAACAGTGTAAAATGCAGATCTTTATGCATTCATGAACAGAGAAGGTGGCATTCTCTGGGGGAATAATCTGTACTTCCACCCCTTTCAACTCCAATTTCAGTGGACATTTTTTGGTATTAGGGTGGAAGGCACATGTGTGCAGCAATACTTCTGTTGCTCTGGTGAACTCTCCCAGTCACTCAATCACTAACCTTCCCCAAACCTAGAATTGAATGGCATATATTAAGTTCTCTGTGAAGGTGACTCTTTGTACATAAACAGATCTGTCTATCAGATGGGAGACAAGCTCATCCTGAACTTTGTTCTGGTTTCAGGACCTGTGTGATAAGGTAAAGTCAGCGTATAATGTTCTAGACCTCACCCCAAAGGAAATGGGGCAGGATAAGCTTAAGGCAGGATAAGCTTAGACCCTTCTTGAGTTGTACTTTGAGCCTCCTCTCTGAACACAACCTCAGTTTCAGGCTTCTGGCAGTTATGCAGATGGCAGAGGGTGAATTTTAATCATCTATAAATCCCAGAATCCCAGGTCACACCACAAAAAGACATTAGTGTCTCTGTCTCCCATGTCCTCTTGGCTAAGCTTGAGTATCTGTCACTTTACTTCCCTGCTAAATGGATTATTTCCTACCAAGAACTGTGAATATGCTCATATTGATTACAATGGCAGATATAATTTTCAGTGAGCCTGGTTCTACAACACCATCTTTTGCCGCCTGCCCTTTCCATTTTCTGGAAGACGTTCACTCGTTGCTCAGGATCAATTAGCAAAACTACATGTTAATTGTTAAACCCTTACCTTCAGAGAGCCCAGGAGGAAATCTGCTTTCAGTATCTGTGTAGTTAAAAAAGGGACAAAGAGAGTTAAATCAAAAACTGTTCATTGTCTTAAGCATATGCTCTATCAAACATTTATACACCTCGTGTAGTCTCTCCCAATAGCTGAACTGTACACAGAGCCTTATGACTCTTGAGCTAGGGCCAAATCCCACAGAAAATCTTGTGATCCTCCCTACATTACTATGATCTGCTGAAAACAAATCTAATGTCTATAGGAAAAGATCAGCTACATTACATATAATTTCCCAATCAATTTCAACTGTCTTCAGAGTTAGTTTTCCTGTGCCTTTCATAGGACTTGGAGGTAGCAAACTTTGTAGCAGGCCCCCTCCAAGGAATGGCATGGCATGGCTCTTCTGCTTCTGCTTCTGCTTGTGCCACCATACTGCAGTGTTTTGGGTTGTATAACCTTGACATTGCATGCAAAGCATGACCTGGAACATTAGAAGTGGGGAATGAGAAGAAAATGCCCCTACATTGTCCACCTCTTTGCAGAGCTGTGGAGATGCCATGGTCAGAGTATGAAGCAAGCAGATGGGACTTACCGTGAGATGCTGAGGTAACAAAGCATAAGGTTGCCTTCAGCTGTGGCTCTTTATATGTAACATCCTGCCCACGCAGCATTCAAGTGCTCTATTTTTGGTCAATAATAATTTACTCTTTAGTTGTAAACGTGTTGAAGCTCTGATCTCTTTGCTAATTACTCAGAGGCAGGATTGATTTAAGGTTGTATGGAGTCAGCTGCACTGACCTGTTCTTTTCACATTGCCCTGTGCCAGGATGGAGGATGGAGGAACCCAAAGACAGCTCTGATAGTGCCAAATAAGGCAACACTTAGTTCCTGACTTCAAGCACTTGCTTTAACCAACAAGATGTTTTTTTTCTAATTGTGTCTAATTATTTCTTATGATTTTAACAGATCCCATCTTATCCTGTCTGTCTCTCTACACATGCTGATAGAGAAGGAGGAAGACTTAGTGAGGCAGAATTTTTCTCTCATTAAATTACTTCATACCGCTGTATGGGGTGCTGGCAAGCCTGAAAGTAGCCTCAAGCTTGGGACAGAATAAGACAATTGGCAGCTTATTTACCGCAAGATAGACTTGCAGTCCTGGCCTGTAGGTTTGCAATACCTGAGGCCTGCAGGCATACTCAAGGTCTCAGCCTGCAGGAAGAAGCCTGGCTTCTGTGCCACTCCATTATCCTGCAGAGGATGTCACGGAGCAGGCTGAACATTGAACCAGAGTAACTTTGATTTGTGCCTTAAGGGTATATGGAAGCATGGTGTCTGCTCCTTTAAGAGTATCTGGTTAAGGACCTTTTTGACACCACAAGGGACAGTAAGATAGGGAGGAAGCCATAAACAAGAACATAGTGGGACACAAACCTGACTGACAAATGGTAAGGGAGGAGGTGATGGGAACCCAACCTGGTTAATCACACTACTTGATGAAGGATGTGAGAGTGTGAAAATGTTTATTCCGGCAAGGTTACCATATCAGAGACCTTGTCAGCTGGGAAACTAAGGTGAAAATGGAAACAAGAAACAATATATACAGAGACACAGACCTGACAAAACAAACTTGGAGACAATGAGAAGAAACAAACCTTGTCAGTGGCACAAGTTGATGTGTTATCAAGAAACTACAGGTGCCACTTGCAGGAAGATCAACCTGGACTTCATGACTGACAACATTGTGAACCAGGGGAGATCCCAGACCAGGTTGAGGTGGATGCAGGAAATGACAGAGCTTTACAAACCCATGAGGCGATGTGCAGGGGAAGTGGGAGCAGGGAGGAACAAAGAGAGTAGTAAACAGAAAAAGGTATAAAAGGGGCCAGTCGCATGTAAAATGGGGCCAGCCGATGTGCTTCTCTGGCTGAGCCCTGCACCTGATCACCACAGTCTGTCCTGTCATCTTACATCTTCTTATTACATCTTTTCTCCACTGTCTCTTTGGTAACCTCACTCTCTATCCCATCTATGTGTGTGCATACATGGACTAAGAACCAGCTACTGGTGAGACCTCTATGTGTGAGTAAAACTTGGTGCCAGCTACTGGAGCCAGGCTCTTTAGTTTCCAGCCATTTGGGTGGGAATGGTGTGTGTTCCTAAAACCACCTACTGGGGGACACCGGGGTGAGTGAGGTGAGGGCTCAGTGCCTGCGACCAGAGTAGGACCAGAATTAACAGACTGTGTGCCTGGTGCTGTCTGCTGGGGGGAGCTGAGCATCTGTGTCTTCCCCAGTCCTGGAGTGCTTGTGCATTCACCAACAAACTTTACGCTGGACCAGCCGGTCAGTAGTGGGCCCTTGGGTCCAGGCTGGGGTATCAGGTGGGGGTAGGGTCCGTGCTGGTATGCCCAGGGACACTTGTGAATGTGGGGTGCCCGTGGGATGAGTGTGTGAGTGCTGCATGTTTGTGAGCACCAAGCTGGACCTGCTGGCAAATAGGTAACTGTGCGGTGGGTCAGAGGGCTGGGGTGCTGAGAGGACAGAGGGGCTGTGCTGAACTCAAGGGAGCTGCAAATGAGTGTGTGCTTGTGA